TATTATTATTATTATTATTATTATTACTCAGGAGATTAAAAACTAAAAACAAAGTGGCACTGACTGTTTTTGAAAACAAACACAAAGAGCTGTATAGTTTAGAGCTCTTGTCTGGCATGCATGAGATTCTGGTTTAATTACCACCATTGCAAAATCTAAGTACAAGAGACACAGATGGGATATAATTGTCATCTGCATTGTAAAATAATGCCCTTGGGTTTGGGAGATGGTTCAGTAGGTAAAGTGTTGTGCAAACTTGAGGATCTGAGCTCCTATCCCCAGCAGCCACATAAAAGCCAGGCATGGTGGCAGGTGGCTGGCAGTAATCCCAGTGCTGGGGGTATGGTGACAGGTGGATCCCTGGAACCCATTGGGCAGTCAGCCTAGCCAATCAGTGAGCTCCAATTTTAGTGAGAGACTGTTCCAGAAAGTAATGTGGAAAAATAATTGAGGAAGTCACTTAACATCAACCTCTGTCCTCCACGCGCGCGCGCATACACACACACACACACACACACACACACAACTTCATTTATTGGAGTTCCACTCTCCAAGCCTGAAGGAGCTGCATGTACAATGTGACTGCAAAGGTGACACAACTCAGCATTGCACATCTACTCCTTTAGACGCTAAGTGTTTACTGACGATGTGGTCACAAACTGGAAGAGACACAATCATAACTCACTGGCAGTCATTACAGCAACATGCAGTGATAGCTTCTATTTTTGTCTAGATGATTACAAAATAATTTTACTAATGGAATTATCTTACAACATGTATTATTTTAAGAATATGCAAAATAGAAACCACTTGGGCATTTTTCAATTGTCACCAGTTAGGATGATGACAGAGGTGTTTATCTCATTTTGTATTCCCTGGTTCATAGCTTCCTGAAACTTGTGATTTGTCTTTAGTTGAAGCATACTGGGTATCGGATCAAAACTATGTTTTAAGAATGAGAACACCAAATATGTTTCTTCACTGCCCAAATTAACATGACTTCAGAGGTTGCACTTAAAAAAAATGTATCAGGGCTGAAGATACAGCTTAGCAGTTAAGAGCACTTGTTGCTCTTCCAGAGGACCTGGATTTTCTTCCCAGCACTCACATGGTGGCTAACAACTATCTGTAACTCCAGTTCTGGGGAGATTCAGGGATCTAATGGCCTCTTCTGGCCGCTGTGGACATTGTACACACATGGTACACCTACATACATACATACAGGTAAAACACTCATATAAAGACAAAATAGTAAATATTAAATTTTTTTAAGTAAAAAAAAATCAATCTTTCTTTTTCATTACTATTTAGTGTAATTTGTCCTTTCAAAAGAAAGACAGGTAATCACAGAAAAATTTTACTTACATTTGAAGCTCTAAAAAAACGTGGGGGATGGGGCTGGCAGCATTTCAGAGGTAGAGAAGGGTTCAAGTTTAAATTTTATCCAGTTGTAGCTATGGTAAGATGCTGGTAGTTGCCAAGTTTCTGCTTCCTAACCTTAACCCCTGAGATGTTTTTCTGAGTAACAGTACTGAGGTTCACACTCTGAACCTCACAGGGCCTCACAGAATGTGCGTGTCCTGCTTTCTAATTATCTCTCTTCCCATCCTGTTAATGTGGATGGTACCACCAAGAAAATATTCAGATTGTTGTTTAAAATTCTTCTTTGAGACAAAGGGTCCATATAGCTTTCCATGTTCACAATAAGACATAGACTCCAACTCTGAAGGTTTTGGCCTATCACTTTTTGCAAGTGTAAATCTACATAAGTGGTGAGATCTTCAAGCCAGAGTGTCAAGGACAAAACTCATAACTACACTATATGGTTAGCCCTCTTCATCCATGGGAGGACTGCTTCCAGGGACACCCATGGATCTTGAAATCTAAAGATGCTCAAATCCCTTGTGTAAGATGGTGTATAGTTTATGCACAACCCCCTGCCTGCTTTGAATCATCTCTAGATTACTTACAGTACTTAATTCAATGTGGATGCCATAGAACTAGTCATCACACTGTACTGTTAGGGAACAATGACAGGAAAATAGTCTACAGATGCTATTTACTTTCTGAATATTTTCTTCCCATAGTTGACTGGATGAAAAACCTGTAGATACAGAGAGAAGACTATATGTGTTTTAATTCTATAACATGTCATTCAAGCCACTGTAAGAAATATAAACAAGAGCATACAATTTTGAGAAAACTATTATTTCAACATTTATGAAATTTGAGAATGTAATTTGAAAGTAGTATAAATTTGACTGAATATATTTTATGCTGATTTAAACATCATTTGCAGACATGTGAGTAATACTCAAATTTTAAAAATCTCCTTGTGTAATTGTTTTAGCTATTCTAATGTTTTGTGGGATTGACATGTGTCACCATGGGAACACTGTCTTAGAAGAATCATAGGATGGATAATAAAACATTGTGATGCTCATGTGCAATCTTATTTAACTAGAGTTCTCTAAATATTGTGGCATATTCTATTTACACTGCACTTTTAATGCATTATTTCACTTGGCACACCTCTCCAATGAAGACAATCTACAATAAGCAGATGAGAAAATTGAGATGCAGAGCCTCTATGCCTTCTTGAAGGTCACACTAAGTATGGACACTGACTCTAACAGTATTGGTTCTGCAATGATGCTTTTGCCTACTGTGATATGTAAGTTCTTGAGGGAACAGAAACCCAAGATGCCTTTTTGCAGGATCCCAAAGGGAATGCATGGACTGGAGATGCTAAGTGGTCCTCACATTAAACTGGGATTGTTTCCAGCTACTGGATTCCAGGGAGAGAAGGCTGCTCCTGAATCTGGAGAATGTACTGGTATTGATGTATCCACTAAGCAATATTTACACAGTACTCTGTACAAATCATTCTCCAAGCTACAAAAATGCAACCACTAGCACAAAAGAGACATTACTTTGCCCTGCAGAATGGACATGTTTCCAGTCATCCCTACACAGAGTGGTAAGTGTAAAGATGAATAGTCCAGGGTTCCAAAGGTAACAGAGAGAGAAGGGCATGAACTAAGGAGGGGCTGGAGGAAGTGACATCTGAGTTTACACATGAGAAACAAGAAAGCACCCAAGTCAGGATAGCAAAAAAACAGAAAGAGGAAAGGGGCATGCCATGTGCAAAAACCCATAGGCTGGGGTGTGTACTGACTTCAAGGAACTAGAAAAAGTCCAATTGGGAGGAACTATAAAATCTAAGTTCCTTACCAGAAAATCAGAGCTTGTAGTTTTATTTATATTTCTATTATTTATTTATTTTTGAGTAGCCCTGGCTAGACTTGAATGCTTTATGTTCAAGAAGATGACCTTGAACTTCCAATCCTCCTGCATCCACCTCCTAAATTCTGGGATTTCGGGCGTTTGCCACCATGCCTAGTTTATGTGGTGCTGGGGATTGAACTCTGGGCTTTGTGCATTCCAGGCCAATACTCCACCAACTAAACTATATCCTCAGTCCAAGGGTGAAATTGAACCATTGACCTTTCAGTTAGCAGTTGACCTCACTATCCAACTGAGCCACTGACACAGGCAATTTGTAATTTTATTTTAGCAATAAATATGTGGAGGAAGGACATGGTGGACAAAAGGCCTTAAAGAGGCCTCAGTTGTGTAGAGACAGAGGAGAAACTTGAATGGCGTTGGTTAGAGTGGTCTAACGTAGAGAGGGATCCAGAAAAGCATTCAAATGAATAGAGAGCTCTTCAGAATGTACTCCTAAGACCAACCCTTGACTGTGTGTGTGCATGGTAGAGGGAAGAAGAACCAAGCTGAATTCCAGTGACATGAACATGGTGAGTTCCTCGGCTCAGAGGATGGGAGGAACTGGAAGCAAAGTTGACTCTCTGTCCGCCTCAACTCCTCCTAATTGAAGTTTTTCCTTTCCAATATGAAGATCTCATTTTTTACATAATTCTTTGTTGTTGTTTTGTTTTCGTTTGTTTTCTGTAGTACAAGGGAATGAACCCAGGGCCTTTCATATGATAGACCAATGCTCTACCACAAAGCAATACCCCAGCCTTTTACCTGATAGAACTCCAACCACTGGCTATTGATGACTTAAATTACAAAGCTAAAACTGTAATTAAATCAACTTCAAGATACTGCTTTATTCCTTGACAGCAAAAAATTAAAACACAAGAAAAACAGATTATTAAAATACATATCTATACATTTGTCGTGAAGGAGAAAAAGATTTCTTTTGGCACAAACATTAATTTAACCTGGCAAGAAATTCTAAATGAAAGACATCTAACCAATGTTGGAGAACATATTGAGGGAACAAACCAACCTTGTATCCTGTCCCTCTTTTTGAGCACAATCGTTTAATTCACTTAACTAAAATTTAGCCCCCACTGCCTACACAATCAATCCTAACCCTGGGCAGAAATCCCAATGGGTAAAATCACAGTCATTGTCGAAGACCGTGAGACAGTAAAATCATCACAACTGGAGAGAATGGACCTCTTTTGTGAATTGTTTTTAGTGGCTTATTAGAACACATCATCCTCCTGGTTGTAGTGCATGTCTGACTCCACAGCGCCCCAACCTGCACAGGTGTGATTTCTGTTCATTGGGGCCACGTCACTTTCACTCTTCCTCTTCAGTGGCTCTCCCTCCTGCAGGCAAGATGTTTCGGAAGCAGGAGAGCTCACAGGCCGCAGGCCTTCTGTCAGTGGAGCCTGAGCCCTGGCCGGGTCAGCTGAATCGGAAGGATTAGCTGTGAGCAAAACTCGGTCGTTCCGTAGTCGTTTTCTTTTTTCTTCTTCTCTCCTCTAAAAAGCAACATTAAATAATGAAAAAGACCCGGTGGTCTGGGAGACTCACTAGTACTGTGTGCCGCCATCACTTTTGCTATGTTTCATTATTCAGCCTGTAGCAAACATATATTGGGGAACCCTGGTTGAAAGACACACACACTTAGCTTCACAGATTCAGGCTAGTCCTCCATCCCCAAACCTCCGAGGGAGGCAGAAATGAGAGCTATTGGATCAAAGCATGTGCCTAAAGGTGCCCGAAGCTGTAGAATCTGACGTAGGGGGGTCTGCAGAAGCCCCTCTTAGCTTAATACCCCACCCCTACCTTGGCTACCCTCCTCCCTCTAACCGCAATGGACTTTTCGCCCAAACTTGACTTAATTCAGAGAATTAGACATTGTTTACTTAAGCCATATAGATGAGACAGTTTCCAAGCGACTTCAAGACGTAACTTCATTCCTTCATAACACAAAGGTAATTTTTGAAAAAAACACCAGGTACACAGTATAAACAGCATACAGGTGGTTGCAACAGAGGATATAAACCACAGATTTTGTCTTAAAGCTGCTGGTGGCAAGCGGTCAGCTCCTTGGACTCAGAGCATTGGCACAAAGCATCACTTACCTTCCGGCGCCCCTCTGCTGCCTGCATCTTCCCCTCAATGTCTCTGATTGTCAGATCCTTTGCCTCCTTTTTGATCTTAAGTTTTTTCAGTCTGGCTGGTGGCTTTCTCACTGGCTTCTCCGTCGCATCCACCTGGAGGAAGATATTAAATGGACAACCACGTATTGCCCTTGGCCTAGTAGAAGCACAGGAGAGACAAACAGCTCAAAATGTACAGCTCAAAATCTAAACTTTCTAGTGGCAGATGACAACAATCGAAACCTGGTATCTGCTAAGAGCAGGATTTTTTGAAATGTGTTGTATTGGGTTGGAGAGATGGCTCAGCGATTAAGACCATCTGCTGTTCTTGCACAGGACCAGGGTTCCATTCCAAGCACCCACATGGCGGCTAACAAGCATCTATAACCCCAGTTCCAGGGGATGCAATGCCCTCTTCTGACCTCCGCCAGCACTGAAAGACACAGATGCACTTACACACATGCAGGCAATACGCTCATACACATAAAATAAAAATAAGTAAAAAATATTTTTAAATGTATTTTATTATTGTTACTCATGTGTGTGTGTGTGTGTGTGTATGTAAGGGTACCATCATGCTACAATATGTTCATGAATGTCAGACAACATCTCTGTGGAGTTGGAGCTCTCCTTTCATCTTGATGTGGGTTCGGGGGTTGAACTCAGGTTGTCAGGCTTAGTTGGCAAATGCCTTCTTGCCCACCCAACAGCAGGATTTTGAAAGGTGAAATGCATTTAGTGCCTTAAAAACACCAGGATAGGGGCTGGAGAGATGGCTCAGCACTTGAAAGCACAGGTTATTCTTGCAGAGGACTCAGGTTCGATCCCCAGCACCCACATGGTGGCTTACAACTGTCTGTAACTACAGTTCCAAGGGAATCCAATGCCCTCTTCTAACCTCCATGGGCATTGCATTACATGGGTGCACTTATATACATGCAGGCAATACACTTATACACATAAAATTTTAAAAACATTAAATAAAATATTTAAAAAATGAAAAAACAAGCTGGGCATGGTGGTGCACACCTTTAATCCCAGCACTTGGGAGGCAGGCGTAGGTGGATCTCTGTGAGTTCAAGACCAGCCTGGTCTACATAGTGAGTTCCAGGACAGCTGGGGCTACAGGGAGACCCTGTCTTAAAAAGACCAACCCTGCCCCCCCTGCCAAAAAAAACAGGCTATTACAAAAATGCTAAAAATGTGCTTTATAAAGCCAGATTGAAGAGGATTCACTCATAAGAGATCTTGAGAATTAATACTAGCCATAAAGATGGATGAATCTAGTGAATTTCCAGATTAATGAAAAAAGTTCACATTTTTACTTTAGTTGAGTGCTCTATAATAGTCAATCTCAGCAACTGATTTCATCTGCTACAAAATATCTTCACTTGCATAGAGATGAGCTTTTGCTTTTGATCTTGTGGTAGAGAGATCATTCATTATTATTGAACAATATGTCTGTGCTTAGCTTTGCTATTGGTATTTGATAAACATTTTCATCACAACAGTAAATGTTTCCATTTCATATGATTGACTACTCTTTCAATAATTCAGAAAACTGATAATGACTTTCTAGTTATAAATTTAGTTATAAAAAGTAAAATTATAAACTGGGCATGGTGGTGCACGCCTTTAATCCCTGCACTCGGGAGGCAGAGGCAGGCAGATCTCTGTGAGTTCAAGGCCAGCCTGGTCTACATAGTGAGTTCCAGGCTAGTGGGGGCTACAGGGAGACCTTGTCTCAAAAAAAGTAAAATTTTTATAAGCAGTTTACAATGTTTTAACTTACAAGTTTTTCCAAAACATATAGTTTTATAGTATGCATTGACTATAGAAAATAGAATAATACATAAACAGCCTCCTATTTCTCTAATTACTCAGACTCCAGACCCCAATCCTGTTCCTCAGCATGAACCTTTGTTTATTTACTTGTTTATTTATTTATTTAGTTTTTAATCTTTATGTGTATGTGTGATTGTCACAGCATGTATGTCAAGGTCAGATGAACCTCAGATGTAAGTTCTAACCTTCCACCTTGTTTGAGACAGGATATCCTGCTTAACACCGTGTATGCCAAGATAGCTGGCCTGAGAGTATCCAGCATCCTCCTGTCTCTACCTCCCATCTGTGAAAGAAAAGTTCCCAAAAAGAACTCCTGCACCTTGGACTGAACTTCCTGCAAGGCTGACCAACTGATTATCACTCCAAAGTGTGGAGAGTTTGGAAATGTTGCAGGTCCAGAGTCTAATTACCATTTATCTTGGGCCGTCTTTAGCCCCCTAAACAGCCACTCCTTGCTCACCTCTGTTTAGGATCTAACATCCTGTGATTAACAGATAAAAAACCTTTTAGAATGTATTATCCTAGCCAACCACCCAGTCTCACCAATCAAAAGGCTAAGAATGTCATCAGATAGCATCTGAGACCTATAGTAAAAACCCTTTGCTTTGCTGGGACCCGCCTACTGACTATATCATCCAATGTATTTGAAAAGTATCTTGATTTATGACTTTTCTTTGTTCTGTTACTATAAAAATGTAAGGCAATTGTTATCATGCCAGAACATGGAATTTAGGGTAATCTGAATCTGTGTTCCTGGGCCATGGTCACTTATATTTGGCTCCAGGATAAGCCATCTCTTATCGCCTTTGAGGTGAGTTATGCTTTTGTGTCGACAGTTTATGGCGCCCAACGTGGGGTCCCAAGCATGATCCATTTTTCATCAGAGGAGTCACCCGGATGGAGCAGGTACTGGCATGGATCCATTGAGTCCAGCTATCTGATGGGGTCTCCTCAGATGGCTTGTGGTGAGTTCTTTCTGGGGCTCTCGAACCTCCCTTGGTTTGGTTGACAGTCCGTTTGTTTATTCTGAGTTGGTTGTTAAAGGATCCCATTTATTAGATACCTTTATTATTTTTGGTTTGCTTTTGAAGTGTTTGTTTTAGGTATCTATTTTGTTTGTTTGCTTTGAAAGTATTTTGGTTTTGATATTCAGGTTGTTTTTTTGTTTTTGGGGGGGGGTTGTTTTTTTTTTCTGATCGTTTTTCAAATTTGTTAGCAGTAATTCTTTTTCTTTCTCTTCCCTTTTTTTTCTCTGAACACTTCTCCCACATCTAATTCAAGGAATGAAGAAATGTTTTGAGAAAAACAGATATTTTGTATTCTGGCTGGTTTTAGGGTTGATTAGTATGTTCCTTTAACTTACAAATACAAGACAATGTAAAAATCCAACTTAAGGTAGTCTGCCAATTTTAAGGTACCTATTTGTTTAGATATTTGTTTGTTTTGCTTGTGTGCTTTTAAAGTGTTTGCTTTAAAGTATCCATTTTTGTTTGCTTCAGAAGCAATTTGTTTCTGCTTGCTTGGCTTGTTTTAATATTGGTGGCTTCTAGAACTTTGAAGGCATTTTTGGTTTCTTTGTTGTCTGTGGTGGTTCTGTTTGTTTTTGATGTTTTTATTTAGTTGGCCTTTGTCTCCAGATGCTCCTCCAATACCAAAATTTGCATTTTTGTTTTTTCCTGTGATTTCTCCTGGCTTTTTGCAACCTTGGTGCCTTTGGCTTAGGAATATTATGAGTGCTTGATCATAAAGGTGCTGAGGACAAGAGGCACTGTTCCCTCCACTCTTACAGAGTAGAGGTGTCAAGGGGAACCCCCAGGATAAATAATGGCCTCATAAGGGAACTCATAAACATACCACATTCCTGGGTCAGAAGGAACTTTATTAGCTCGCCTGGGAAGACACACATAAGGGTTAATCACCCAGTGTCTTGAGCACCCTCATATTTCCAACAGCTTGCTGGAACCCCAAGACCCAGTGGGAGAAGATGGTCTCAGTGTGTAAGTTGAAAAAGTCCATCCCGAAAAGCAGTACATACACAAGATCCAAAACACATACTCCTCAGCTAGCATAGAAAAGCTGGAAATTTTCAGGGGGAAAGAAATAAATTAGTTAATAAGATGGAAAGTTTTCTAAAAAGGAGGAAGTGTTTGAAGATAAACTGCCACCTGACACTATAGCTGGCTTTATGTACGATAATCATGAGCTTTCAACTTGCAAATATTTGGGAAAATGGGGAGATCTAACCAAAGATAACTTAGTCCCTCAGTAGGGAATATTTAATGTTCCAAAATTGGGACTTTTTTTTTTTGCACACTTAACTAAAAGTCGTAGGCAATAACATTTGAAACCATCACCTGGGCAACCTGCTTTAACTAAAATGTGAGAGTATATATAAAAAAAATTATAAAATTGATAATTTACAAAAATAAGAGCTCTAAGAAAAATAACACGAATAAAGAAAAACATTAAAATTAAA